TTGGACAGCCTGACAAAATATAAATCTGTTAAAAAAGTAGGACAACCATCTGCCAAAATGCTTGGGAACATTTTAAATAAAAAATGAATATTGTCATGTTATTTTACTAAGAAAAGAAAGAAAAAAAACCCCAACCGGGTAATTTTGTGTTGAACTGCAAACTTTAAATATTAAAAAGAAAAATAGCGTTCTCCCTCAAGATGAAGGATGTGGCAGTTTTTTTATTGTGGAAAAAAAAATCTTCAATAACTCAAACTAGAGAAACCCAGTTTTCTGCTTATTTTAGCAGCAACAAGTGAGGAAACCACACCTTCGATCAACACTGCCACCTGGTGGCCATAAAGGAAATAACAGATAAATCAATTTGGGGGTCCCAAAATGTTCGGGAAGAAAAATCACAATATATACACCTGTGTATATATTGTAATGTGATGTTTTGGAAAGTGGACTCACGTGTTAAGATAGACTGCAATTTGGAATAAAATAAAATCACATGAATGTGATGCTGGATGATTGTATGGCCCCAAGGCTAAATGGGCAAGGAGGTTTGGTGTGGGCTCCCGGAAGCAGCAACCATCTGGCATGATCACATTTATTGTTTATAATAATAAAAATAACGATGAGCACAAGATATACATGGGAGGCTGTTATTGCTGTTGGTTGTCTTCGGCTGTTTGCGGTAAAACGCTTTCACTGTTGAACCACAGAGCTTCACTGGTGCGACTGGACAGGATGGCGCGCTCGATCAAAGGCCCTGGAAAAAGGAGAGTTGGGCGGGGGGAACAAAAAGACAAAATAAGTGATTGTGATAGTCCATCTGAAGCTTTTTTTTTTTTTTAGTTTTTCTCGAATATTTTATATCAAATTGGGGGAAATAGTTTTTTGCCAAGAAGCTTCGCCGGCATCATCCACAGAGACAATTTGTGTTTTATCTTTTTAATCAATGTCACATGTTCAATGCACGCCGATTTGCTGGATTAGTTGCGGTTACCCATGTCGGCGGGCCGATGCGAGCGCACGTCGGTCAGGATGATTTCCAGGTTGGCCAAGATGTGTTGAGTGGGAAAGTCCAACTGTGGGGAAATCGGGAGAAGTGGGCGTGAAGCTCCGCCCACTTGAGCTCTGGGCGTGGCGGCGGCGGCGACCTACCGTGGCCACCTGCGTCCGTACGTAGCACTCGCTCTCCACCCCGTACTCGTGGCCCGTGCGGAACAGCGACAGCATTTTGGGGATATTGATGCCGATTGAGCCTTGAAGAAGGGGGATAAAAAACGCACTAGAAAGTTAACGTGTGTGTGTGTGTGTGTGTGTGTGTGTGTGTGTGTGTGTGTGTGTGTGTGTGTGTATATATTT